TTAAAACCAAGTCATAAAATAAGGTGCATTGCACACTACCTGCCTCTAAAATCCATTTTTCACTAGGGCATTTTGTTTCCATTGTTTGAGAAACAAGGTTTTAATAGAAGGGCACAGCGAGTTACAGTACGTATCTGGCTGTGGAGTCAGAGTTTAGGAGTTCAGTTGCCTCCCAGGCATCTCAGAAGAGCCTGCTTGTGTGACTTTAAGCAAAGAAAAAAAAAAGTGTGCTGCTTATATACCGCCCCATAGCGCTTCAAGCACTCTCTGGGCGGTTTACAAGTTAATTATACAGGCTACTCATTTTACCGACCTCGGAAGGATCAAAGGCTGAGTCAACCTTGAGCCGGCTACCTGGGATTTGAACCGAAGGCCGTGAGCACAGTTTTGGCTGCAGTGCAGAAGTTTAACCACTGCGCCACGAGGTTCTTAAACTCACGTGACAAGCTTCACAGTTACAGAAGAAGGCTATGGTAAACCACTTCTAAGTATTCTCTACTTAGAATATCCTAAAAAGCAATGCCACAAGTCAGAATTGAAGAGCAAATTTTGGAGGGGGGGTGGCCTAGCATCTCTGGAATTCCACAGCCACCAAAAATGCCCTCTCTTGTGTCTTCACCAAATACCCAGGGCCCAAGCCATATGAAGCTTTAGAGGCCATAGCCAGCACTTTGCATTGGATCTGGTAATCAGTGAAACTATTGTCATGTGGGAATTATATGATCTTTGCAAGTAGCCCCAGTCAACAGCCTGACTGTAATGTTTTGAACCAGCTGAACTTTCTGGGTAGTGTTCAAAGTCAGCCTCATGTAGATTGTGTTATATTTATTTATTTATTTGATTTATACCCCACCCATCTGGCCTATAAGATCACTCTAGGCGACTATAGTAGTCCAGATGAGATACAGCTAAAGTATGTGATACCATAGCCAAGTCAGACATTTTTAGGACTCTGGCACTCCTTGTCTTTCTGCAGTTCTGTTTAGTAATATCTGGTCTTGGGATCCAGTTATTAGCTATTCCAAGTTGTATACCCAATTGGTTGTTTTCCTCCCCCCTTTTTTTCTCTTTTAATGTTGTTACGGCACTCCTGTCCAGTTGTCTTTCTGCAGTTCTTTTTAGTAATATCTGGTCTTGGGATCCAATTGGTTGTTTTCCTTCCCCCCCTTTTTTTCTCTTTTAATGTTGTTATGTGTGGCTTGCATTACCATTTACTAAATATGTTATGACACCGTATTTATACCAGCCCAGAGACCTTTGGAGACCTCTGTGGCTTCCGGCCTCTAGCAGTTTCACAGATGGGCCTGTGCTGCATGCCTACGCTAGCTGCCAAGAGTGGAAAGATTTACTTTACTTTGCCAGAACCTTTTCACAAGAACAGGACATGTTCGGTAATGTTACAAGAGCTTTATTTAGACCACTGAACTCACAGGGCCTGTGTGGAGACTCATGGTCAGTCTGATTGTGACATTTCTGAACAGGAGGGAGAGCCCAGTGGTTTCTTGCAAACAGAAAGACAGAACTAATACCATCTCAATTCTGTGAGGTAGCACTAAGGCTGATTATTTGTAACAAAAATGTTGCTGGTTTCATTATAATGAATGAGGCCATGATTTGTAAAATTTAACACAGTTCAGTATCACCTTATTCTAGGAGACAATGTAATATGTGCAACAAAATACTATAAATACAATAAAACTATACATTTCACTATGGCAAAAGTGATGGTCATCAATTTGGATAGGTTTAAAAGGAGATTACAAAAGTTTGCCAGTGCTCTCAGGTTGTAGGTTAAGGGGGTAACAGTTTGTTTGCTTGTTTGTTTGTTTGTTGATTGATTGACTGACTGACTGACTGACTGATTGATTGATTGCATTCTTATACCACTCCATTTAGTGAAAATCTGCTACTCTGGGCAGTTGAACAAACAGAAATCAACCCCTTAATACCCATCCCCACCTCAGAAACAGATAAAGGAAAAAAATTAACAACAATCCAAACTAGTGATTAAATGATGGTGACTATCTTCTAAGAGAAGGAAAACAAAAACACTGAGCCATGGGTCAAATCATTACCTAAGGGGGAAGAATGTGCTTAGTCTTTTTTAAACAATTCTGTTTCTGCTAACCTTTTGAAATTCTGGAGGGAGGAGGCCTGCCGAATCTACAAAGGGAGACCATTCCACAGTGACGGGGCCCAATTCTCCACCAAGAAGGCCTAATTCCTAGTGGAAACCCCCCTTGCCTCTCTTAGGATGGGCACCCATAACAACAAGGCCTGGGAGGACTGGGTGGAATGAGCAGAAGTTCTCAGAGAGAGATGCTCTGACAGTTGTGTGAGAAATAGACAGGAGAAGGCTTGTTTAGGTTTGTACTGTACTAGTATGACTCCAATATTTTAGCAGAGGTGGGAAACTTTGATCTTTTGGGGCTCTCAGAATTTCACAGCCAACATGTCCACTCACCATAATGACTGTAGATGCTGGATGCCTGAGTAATTTTGGCCAAACAAATCCATACTTTATTATACATAATAATACAAGGCCTGAATGGTGTTGACAGCTTGCCTTTCTTATCCTTTAACAACCCTGTGAGACATTAAGTTGTGAAACAGTGGCTGACCCTAGACTTCCTGCTGAGATTCGTGAACTGGATGGATTTTGGTCCCATGGAGTGCATTTTCTCATTCCTGCTTTGTGTGAGATAGGCTGAATTCCACCTCTCCCCTTCTAAACTGGCCAACGGAGACACGGACTGCTTTTCTTGTATTCTGTACCCCTTTCCATAGTCAGCTGAAGACTGTGTGATTGTAAATTATAAGGATCATGGCTTGAAACCTAAGAACAGAAGGGTCCATTGTATGTTATTTGGAACAGGGCGGGTGCCCTAGTCATCTCCTCCCGAGATAAGGGAACTCCTCAAAGTAATAGGCATGGTATAAACTTCTTCCAGTTTTGAGCTACACTTTGAAGCATCAACAGCTGGAGAGTGCTGTGGATGGGGATGGAGCTGCATATTACAGGACTCATTTTACACACTTGAGGCTTTGAGCCAGGGTTCGCTATAAAAGGCCAGGGGACTGGGAAGATGACACCTGTCTTTGAGGGTGGGAAGAGTGAGATGTCATTGCACTAGTATAACCCTGGCCTCCAGTTGCAGTCATTCTTGTTCCAAATTGCAGCTTCAGTACTGTTGTGGTTCCAGTTAATTCCCCTTAAATGACTCTTCTCATCTTTCTGACATCTGGTGTTGGGACCAAATTATGTGGGCAATGCCTTGTGAAGTACTGATGTGTGTGTGTGTGTGTTGCTTGAATATAATTGCAAATTGTTTGCATCAAATTTCTGTTCTTTCCATGGCTTCTTGCCCCTGCCCTTCCCTCCAGAAAAAAGTAGAAGGAAATAAATTTGCAAAGTAAATAGGTGCCCTTAATTTACATCCGAGTCCTATGAATGTCCGCTCAGAGGTTTCTCCCATTAACTTTAATGAGGCTTGAAATTAGACTTGAAAAGGGTATAGGATTGTTCCCTAACATAGTGATTCTCCATCTTTGGTCCTTCAGAATCCCTTACTATTGGCCATAAGCAGGTGGGGCTTCTGCAGCTTGTAGGTGAAAATGTCTAGAGAACCAAAGGTTGAGAACAAGTACCCTAAAACAGGTTGTGGAATTCATGTGCTTTGGTGCAAATCTGTTTTATTTTCACTGTAGAATTATGACTGGGTGGACTGCTCAGCACATTTTGCATTTTATTTGCATTTTATTTTCTTGTTGTCAGAGGGGAAGAAATTAAGGGTTCTGACGAATATAAATGAATACGGTATACGTTTACTAAATATTTCACATACTTTCCAAGGAGATGGCATGTGGCATGCATACTGAGCAGTGTAAGGAATAATTTTCATGTAAACTAATCTGTTGCATACAGTAGATCGTATGTAGCTCCAGTATGCTTTCTTGATAGTAGTAACACAATCTGCACTGGGGCCTACTCACAGGTAAGGCTGTATGTAATTGTGGCCAAAACCCAGCACTATGGCTTTGGAGCTGGAAGCATCCGGAACAAAAGCATTTCCAAAATATCAACAGGCTGAAATTTCATAGCTGCAGGCAAAAAAACTCTTGAACTGAAATGACTCCAAAGAAGTATAGGCTGTGAAACTGGAAATTCAGCTCTATTTTCCTTAATCGGTACAATTAGAAGCATGTGGGGTTTTTTGTTTTGGGTGGAGGGGTTCTGCCAGTTTGTGAGCCCAGCAGCTAAGTAGAAATATTTATAAATGATTAGTTTAATTTGTTTGATGCATTCATTAGAGGGGACCACAAGCAGCTGGGAAACAGCATAAAGCCCTGAGCAGCACAAGGGAGAGAGACGGGAGTTGATAAAAAGTGAGGTCATTGAAAGGCAGCCAGGGGCAGTTAATCCACAGGCAGTGCAGAGGCATTGGGCAAGATCCAAACTCCATGCTCTCCCTCCCTTCCATGTCTTCCTCTCTGGGCCCCATGAAGCAACAGGCCTTCTGTATAAATCAGAGGAAGGGGTTTTTAAAAAGTTTGCTCAATTGAAACCCCACCCAAGTGGGGAGGAAAACAACCACTTCAGTTCACTGACTAGGACAGCAACAGTCAAGGCCTCTCTGTTCATTCGGGTGGACGGCTGCTCTCTCGGTAGAAAATTCTGTCCAGAAAGACCCCCGCAAATATCAGGTTTTACAGAGTACAGGAAGGAAAAGAAGGATGAAGTCTGAGGGCATGGGGAGTTTCTTGGCAAACCCTTCCCTTCACAACATACTTCTACACCAAAGTGAGCAGAACAAAATATTCGCTGGGGCAGATGTTTCATGCAAGATTTAGAGCACATGCACAGAGGTAATATATTGGGGGAAGTGGAGCAAATGCTTCCCAAGAATGCGTTGAAGCCCCATTTGTATAAACAAAAAACCCTCTAAAAACCTAACAACATTGTGTGTTTGAAACAATGATTTCCCTTTGCTTTCTTCCAGATTACAGAAGAGTTCCAGAAGCTGCTATCCTCAATGAGAATTACAGGTGTTGGCCTTCTTACCATCATAAGGGATGCCTTCTTTCCGTGTTTGACGTGAGAGAGGCCATTGAGGTTTGTGAGAGTCATTCACAGTGCAAAGCTTTCGTTCTCACCAACCAAACAACATGGACAGGTAATAAACCACACAGGGTAAAATGCAAGGGTAAGGTGTTAGCTATAAGGCACATTCCAAAATTCATGTTAGTAGTTCTACCTTTGTATTTGTGAAGGCTTTCACAGCCGGGATCTAATGGTTGTTGTGGGTTTTTCGGGCTCTTTGGCCGTGTTCTGAAGGTTGTTCTTCCTAACGTTTCGCCAGTCTCTGTGGCCGGCATCTTCAGAGGACAGCACTCTGTGGCCGGCATCTTTAGAGTGCTGTCCTCTGAAGATGCTGGCCACAGAGACTGGCGAAACGTTAGGAAGAACAACCTTCAGAACACGGCCAAAGAGCCCAAAAAACCCACAACAACCATTAGATCCTACCTTTGTTAGGTCAACTGAAAAAGCATCTCTTGGTCTCTTTGTCAGGGAAAGATGTTAACAGAAATAAGGAAGAGGGGGAAAAAACAGGACTGGAAAGGATAACTTTCTGAGGAGTAAGCTATGCTTTATTCTGTATTATTAAAATGAAGGCCTGTGTTTACAACCCCATGACTAATCATAAAGCAAAGCAAGCTGACCTGTGAGACAGGGCAGTGAGGAAACTCATGAGAAGAGAGATATATTTCTTCTCTTCACTATTAATGGGGTGCTGTCTGAATTGTCTAACCTGACCCTCAGTGAGGCTCACAATGAAAACAAGGTCATGAAAATGGATCACCCCAAAATTACAGGTATGTGAAAGCAAAGTCACGAAACATTATTTAAAAATTTTGAAATGAAGACTGAAACAACAACATGGCAGCAAAAATACAGTAATTATCATCAGAGAGGCAAAAGATTTTGGAATGATAGATGTAAAGCACAACCAGGCAACGATAGTTATTCAGGAGCTTAAGATGGCTGAGAGGATAAAAAGCAAAGTGTGCTGCTTACGTACATACGGCCCCATAGCACTTAAAGCACTCTCTGGGCGGTTTACAAGTTAATTATGCAGGCTACACATTGCCCCCTCCCCAGCAAGCTGGGTACTCATTTTACTGACCTTGGAAGAATGGAAGGCTGAGTCAATCTTGAGCCGGCTACCTGAGATAGGTTTTGTTTGGCACTAAATCATCCAGGCAGGCCTCTCTATATAGAAAATGGAAATTTTGTCCTCTTCTTCTGAAAGCCCCAAGGAGTGGTGATTTTAGTTTGAAATTGAGGGCAGGACCTCCCAGCCCACCTCCACCCCTCAAAATTGAAAACAAAAGCATAACATTCCAGAACTCAGCATTTTTTAAAAATGTTTCCACGGGCTGGTATAGGGCTGATGGATACTGGGAAGAAAATTGGCCCCTGTATCTTCCTAATATACCTACTTTCCGATGTAAGCAATTGTAACCAGCAGCCACATCTGGTATAAGCAAGACTGGACTATAATGAATATTGGTAATTTATTAAGGCCAACGTACTGTTTGTTTGTTTGTACTGTATGCATAATAAAGGTTGCACATAGTTCCTTTTTCTCTGATATTTACACAAGGGGCTGGTCTCAACCCACTTGCAGAAAAGGAAGCACTGTTGCTTTGAATAGGGCAATTTCCAACCCATACTATGTGACTCTCTGTGATTCTCAGCAGGCTTTTGCCTAAACATGTAATTCGTTGCAGCATTATAAAATTCGACAATACATTATAAAATATGTTGAATATTCTAACTGGTGGGTACATAGTAAAGGCTAATGAGGAGTAGTTTTAACTTTTGCCTCCACCTGCAGTATTCTGAAACTCAAATGTGAATATTAATGGATGGCACTGTTAAACAATTTATTTCCTTGCCTATCCAAAAGGGATTGAGATGAATAAGACTATGTTATTTCCAATATCCTAGGTGGAATAATCTAGATTCTTTCCCTTCCTACCTGGAGCCCTCCAAATTAAATCCAGATACATATTTCATGTCACCTCTGACAGAGGACCTTTTTTTGTACTGCAGTTAGTCTTTAGGGGAATGAAATTTCAAGTCTGAGAAGCAGTCACTGAGAGCAACTTTTTGTGTGCTGTTATGGTCTTGATTTGGTGCATGTACAGTGGTGCCCCACATAGCGACGATAATCTGTGCAGCCAAAATTATTGCTATACGGATTCATCGCTATGCGAAATAAAAAAGCCCATAGGAATGCATGAAAACCCATTTAATGCGTTCCTATAGGCAAAAAACTCACCTTTATGCGAAAATCCTCCATACGGCCGCCATTTTCGCTGCCCGGTAAGCGAGGAATCCGGGCAAAAACACAGCGGGCGACCATTTTTTTAACCCGGCGGCCGTTTTGGAACCGCCGATCAGCTGTTGGGAAATCATCGTTATGCGAAAATCGGTAAGTGAAACAGCTTACTGATTATCGCAAAGCGATTTTTTCCCATTAGAAACATTGCAATGCAATCGCAAAAACGATCGCAAAAAATCTGTCGCTATGCGGATTCGTCGTTAAACAGGGCGCCTGTTAAGCAAGGCACCACTGTATTCTAAAGGAAGGGAGCTTATCTGGAAGACCTTGGAGCTTATTTTTAAGAGGAAAAAACTCTGCTTCTCTGTTTTTTTTTTTTTAATTGATATTTCTTCCTTGTTTCCTTCCAAGGTCGTCAGCTGGTCCACTTCAAGATGGGATCCACTTCTCTAGCATCTGACCCTGACAAGACAACATATGTGAAAGTGGCTGACTGAAAGCTAACATTGCTAATGAATTCTGTGCAGGTTTACTCAGAAGTAACTCCTATGAGGTTCAATAGGATTTACTCCCTAGTAACTGTGCATATAGGTTTGGGGTCAACCGTGTAAGATATGATAGCAGTTTGTATCTAAATGTGGACTGCTGTTGCTTACAAGCAAGCTGAGGAACGAGAGGGAATTGCACTAAAACTCCTTCTAATCTAAAGAGTATGAAACCAAACATTAGAGAAGAGGCACGCATGACCAGGACAAATGTGCAATAAGTAACATTTTTAAAATGTGACTTTGTTTTAAGAAGCAAAATGAAATCCAAAATGTGAGATACTGTGAGGCTAGCCATAGGTTTCTGGAAAGCAATAGGCACCCTTAGGTGTGTTTTTCCTACTAGGGTTATGCATACTGTGTAAAAAAAATGTAGGCCTTGATGGGAAATTCTTCCTTTCTGCAGGAAGGCAGGGGTCACCTGTTCAGATATTTATGTGGGCAAGTACAATCACCGCAGCACTGTTAAACCCAAAGCCTGGAAAAGTTACTTTTTAGGGGGCATACAACTCCCAGACTCATTAGCCAGGATATTCTGGGAGTCATAGTCTAAAAAAGTAATTTTCTTTCAAGCTCTGGTTAAACCTCATGAGTCTAAAATGTAAGACCAAACCTCCTAGAAGACAATCAATACTTCTGTTCATTGTACCAAAATATACCATACCAAACATTAGGTTGGTGGTCCTTGTGTAATGGATCACTGCCATATCTAGTACAATGGCCACCCTTTTCTTTTGAAAATAGTCAGTTAATCATATCAGTTGGAGGAATTCTGTACAGGTTTGCCTCTGAGGATAAATTAAAAGGTTAAAAAAAGAAAATACAAAGGTTTTGGAAGACGCACAGCGGACAATCCAGCAGACACCATCTTCTTCATCATCATCATCCTGTTTATTTGTCTCTCATTTTAAAAGAAATGTCTCCTTCTCTTTTAGACTTTGGACATAAAGGTCACACGGTGGGGTACGTTTTTAGATGGTCAGGTGTAGTCCTTTTCTCATTTCAAAATAGAGTAAGCACGCTCTGCTGCATTTGGTGGCCTTCTCTGCTATGTGGAGCCTTAGATCTCTGCCCCAAGGTCCTATCCTGATATCTCTGTGTGGCCATCTGTTGTTTTTTAGACATAGGTTTAAGAAATTGTTTAATAGATTGGCTGCCCAGTTAGCCAGGGGTGCCGTTTCAGTTCTTTAGAATGATTTTAATCCGTCTAACAGATTAATCAACTAAATATTACAACTGTAGTATCCATTAGTTCATTAGTAACTAATGTTCAGTTTAAAAAACAGGCTGTCATGATGGCTGTCATTGAGGTGAGTGGAGGAAGACGGAGCTATACACTGCAGAGGTCCAAGGATGTGAGCATGTGCCTGCAGATAACTCAAGAGATGCATTGCATCTGTCCCCAGGCACACCTTCAATTAGTGTCCCAATCCTATCTGCAGCAATTGTACTGTCGTGGCCCGCTTAACGATTGCCTTGCTTAACGAGGAAATCGTTTTACGATGAGGTTTTTGTGATTGCAATTGCGATCGCAAAACGATGGTCTAAATGGGGGAATTTCGCTTAGCGATGATCGGTTCCCTGCTTCGGGAACGGATTTTCGCTTTACGACAATCAAAACCAGCTGATCATCGGGTTTCAAAATTGCCGCCGGCTGAAGAAAATGCCCCCCCCTGCTGTGCTTAGGGATGGATTCCTCGCTGCACAGGCATGGAAAATGGCTGCCCCTATGGAGGATCTTCGCTGGACGGTGAGTTTTCAGCCCATTGGAATGCATTAACCGGGTTTTAATGCATTTCATTGCGCTTTTTTATTTCGTTTGACGATGTTATCGCTCTGCAGCGATTTCGCTGGAACAAATTAACATCGTCAAGCAAGGCACCACTCTACATTTCCCATAGGACTAAATTAGAGATTGGAAAGAAATGAACCATGCACCAAAAAAATCTGATGAACTAGCTTGGTTTGTGGTTCATTTCACAATCCAGTTCAGAGATTCTCTTTTGCTGAAGCAAAATGAAACAGTCAACTTTTTTCCCTGGGGTGTTCCATTTGCTTTGGCAAAAAGGGATGCCTGCCTGCTCCTTTCCCACTGCCCCTGTTGCCTCTGCCTACTGCCCCTGTTGCGTCTGCCTAGCTGCTCCTGCCGCCACTGCTACAGGTGCCATCCTCAGAGGTAGCAGGCCTGGCTTCCTACCGCCACCGCTACAGGTGCCATCCTCAGAGGTAACAGGCCTGGCTTCCCTGCCAGGAGCCATGCCATGGAGGCGGAAGTGGCAGCAGCAGGTAGCCTCCCTGGCACAAACCAGAAAAACAAACCTGCCAGGAGCTATGCCATGGAGGCGGAGGTGGCAGCAGCAGCAGCAGGTAAGCCTCCCTGGCACAAACCAGAAAAACAAACCACGAACTGGTTTGTTTCTCTGGGGGTTCATGTTGAACCATGAACTATTACGAATCACTGGTTTTCCAGTTCATGCCCAGCTCTAGAGTAAATGGAAACCATGCACTTGGAGGAATTTAAAAAAGCTTTATGACAATAGTGATGGGTGAGCTAGCCCAACAGCTCCTTGTAGGAAACAGAGAAGGAAGTGTCCATACCATAGCAGGTTGTTGCAATTATAACTGGCCTCTTTTATCCCTTAAAACCTAACGGGAGCCATTGTCATCTGAGTCTACCTCCATCTACACAGATTCTGTCGGGTTTCCTTTTATGATCATGACAGAATGGGGCAAAAGAGTTTAACAAACAAACTTAGAAACTGCCTTTTAGATGCTCATCATAAATCTATCAACTCTTATTGGACACAATGTGGCCTACTTGTTTAGTTTCAGTGCATTTTTGAAGAGGAAACAGTGGCTTATGTAATACGTTGCTGTTAGAGTAGATTTATTGAACCAATGGAACTTACATAGATGTTGACTCACAAAATGTCCATTGATTTAATTGGTCTACTCTAGTTGTGGCTTAAAACTGGATTTCAACCACTAAGTCATAAGTGGGAAGTTTTTACCTCCAAATTTGAGACCCTTTTATACTCACTAGTCCCTTACCATTGGCTATGCTGAGAGTTGTAGCTGACCGAAGGACCAAATATTCCCCCCTCCATCTATCAATATAATTAACCATACTAATCAAGGTTTAATATGTAGGCCTAAATTGTATTCTCAGTGTTCTGCATGGACTGAGATGCTTGGGTCAATTGAAAGGTTTCAGAGATTTGTGGGATGGGCTACCCGTGTCACTTTCCTCGGGCTGCTGTTGTGGAAGATATTCTGGGTTGCTATTAGATCTTAACTGGTTGACTTATCCTAAAGAACGCAGTGTGGATAATTCACATCACTGACATTTGCATACTTCGGGGTTCAATGAACTTGAAAAAAAAAACTTTTAGAGTGATTGTCATAAGGGGACTGGCTCTTTTTTTTCTTTGACGGCATTCACATAGAATGAAGCAGCTAACCATAAGGAGCAGCACAATTTGTCAGAAGTACCTTATGACAAAAAGTAGCATTTCTGCTACTGAGACATTGGAGTTTTATAGGTGCTGCTTATTGGCTTTAAGAACAAATAGCTTTTGCGGCCGCAAATAAACCTGAGCCTTAATAATGCAATAGAAACGGCAAAATCTTTTTATAGGCCAAGTGTGTCTAGATAACGTGCTTTCAGTGAAAGCAGACAAGAATATGTTAAAAGTGACAAATGTCATGCTGTTTTCTAGTTTGTACATTCAAGAATTCTTTTGTACTTTTGTTCTTAAATGATTTATTTTTGTAAGAAAATAAAATGAAATAGACAACATCTTTTTGCCATGGTTGTTTTTTTTTTCTTTTTTGTTTTTCTGCTTAATTTTTTATTCAAACAATTGGTTCATTCCCGTGCACACATATACTGGAATATTTAATAATGTGCTATCACAATGATGACCCTCTTGGGGTTTTCTAGGTACAAATTAATAAGAAGTGGTTTGCTGGATCCTCCTTCTGAGACTGTGCAACCAGATCAAGGCCAGCCAAGTGATAGGGTATATGACACCATGAGCCACACATACTTTGACTGATCTTGGCGTGGCTAGGAGGCACAGTGAGAATTTTAATTCCTGGTTTTACTCCATATCCAGGTACAGTGGTGCCTCGCATTACGACGTTAATTTGTTCCAGCGAAATCGCTGTAGAACGAAAACGTAATGTGAAAATAAAAAGCCCATTGAAACGCATTGAACCCCCTTCAATGCGTTCCAATGGGCTGGAAACTCACCGTCCGACGAAGATCCTCCATAGGGCGGCCATTTTCGGTGACTGTCTTATGAGGAATCCGTCCCAGAAAACAGCGGGAAGCCATTTTATTTACCCGGCGGCCATTTTGCCAATCAGCTGTCCAAAAATTGTCGTTTTGTAAAGAATCGGTTCCCGAAGCAGGGAACCGATCATCACAAAGTGAAAAAACCCTATTCAGACCATCGTTTTGCGATTGCAATTGCGATCGCAAAAAGATAGTCATAATGTGGTTTCGTCGTAATGCGGCGTAATCGTAAAGCGAGGCACCACTGTATTTCACACCACTGATCTATAACAGTCTTGCTCTGCACATGGGAACGCTGTGCTCTTTTCAATGAAACTTGTCTAGAATTAGTGACTAAATACTGAATCTACACTCTGCTATAAAACGTCCATGTGACTCTCCACACTGATTTATTTGAGAAAAAGTTACTTTTTTTGAACTACAGTCCCCAGAATATCTCACTGAATATGGCCAGTGGCTATGCTAGTTAGTTTATTCTGGGTGATGGGTTTGAAAAAAGTGATTTTTCTGATCTCTGGACCTTTATAATCCTAAAGAGTTTATGGCATGGGCAATATTTGAATAGAGCATATTTTCATATTTTACATTTTAGCTGTTCTGCTGCCACAGCCTCTCAAAGCCCTTTCTTCCTGTGTCCCAGGGAGAGATACCATAAGAAGGTGCTTAACACCCTTTGTCCATCTGTCCAGAATGGTCAGGTCTGACTGGAAGCAGCACTTCATAATTTCAGGTGGGATTCTTTCTTAGCTCTACCTGGAGAATCCTGAGAGTCCTTGATAATTTCCCATCCAGGTCATAAGTAGGCCCAACCTTACTTTGCTTCTGAAATCGGGTAAGTTCAGTAACAAAGGATGTAACATTCACTTGTTCCTTGCCAGCAATTAAAGAATCACACTTGTGATTCTTGAGCGATGCATAGGCACACTGGTTTGGTACATGCTGGAGACTCCCAGGAGGGAATTTTTTTAAATTGCTGGCTAGGAACAAGTTAATGTTATGCTAGTTGTTAAACAAAGCAACAGGATTTCAGCCATAGGTTTGTTGTGAGGTGGACTATAAATGTACCATAATAACTTGCACAGTGTTGTCCTGTTTAGTACTGTGCAAGACTGTACTGATTTGCTACAGTCTACACTCGAGTGACCATTTTGTGGTGCTTGATGGGAACCCAGTCTTTCCAAAGAAGGCGGACCAGGTCTCTGGGATACCTGGGTCCCAGTTCACCTAAAAGAAGCAGGCACTCCTGGAGGCCTGGGGCCCAGTCTACCCACTCTTATGTGGGCACTCCTGTTACGCATAATGTTAAAATGCCCCTGTTTAGCATTGTTTCAGTTAGTGCTCCATTTTATGTAAAATGTCCTGAGTGCTAAGTGGGTTTTATTGTAATGCATAAATTGAATAGGCTTCAGTTTGAGGTCTATTTTATACAGCCTTTTGATAAAGGTAAAGGACTAATTTGACATTTATTCCAGTCGTATCTGACTCTAGGGTACGGTGCTCATCCCTGTCTCCAAGCCATAGAGCCAGCATTGGTCCGGAGACAGTTTCCGTGGTCACGTGGCGACTAGACATGGAATGCTGTTACCTTCCCACCATGGTGGTACCTATTCATCTACTCACATTTACATGCTTTCAAACTGCTAGATTGGCAGGAGCTGGGACAAGCGACGGGAACACACTCCATCGTGTGGATTCGATCTTACGATGGCTGGTCTTCTGACCTTGAGCACAGAGGCTTCTGTGGTTTAACTCACAGCGCCACCACATCCCCATACAACCTTTAGGGATATACAAAAAAGTAATTGTTTCCTGTAGAAACAGATAGAATCCCATTGATAGAGATGCCCATTTGCCCATTAATTGATTCCAATGATAGTAGCTGTTGTTAAAGAGTGGCTGAGTTAGGTATGGTAGATACATCCTTAATGAATTGGGACCCTTCTACAATTCATGTTTATATCGGTACCTGTGAACATCACAGATGACCACAAGAAGAGAAGATGCACAAAAGCTTTGTGGAAGAATCGCTCGAATTAGATGTCCCTCACACAGATGTACATATGTATAGGATTTCCTTGTAGAAAATGTATTTTTTTTAAAAAATCTTTGTTCAGAGTGTATACATTTTTTTGGCTTTTCCAAACAACTTCCTGCTGTTTCAAGGTTGGAAAAGGAAAGAGGACACCAGTTCTGCTTAAACAGTTGATT